GTGGAGTGAAGGTGGAAGTAGCACGCTATCCAGCATCTAGATGTGTATAAGAGACAGCCTACCGGGAGATGCGGCCCTTGAGGCCAGGAAGGGTGAATTTCGGGAGGCGGGGGTAGTGGTGGTTTAAGTTACTATCACAACCGATGAGGCTTGGGAGTACCGGGCCTGATTTTTTCCATCTCTTAAGTAGTGGACCAAAGCCCATTTTTGACAAGGTGGTGGTCACAAAGGGTCATCCCATCTTCTCCTAAGTTTTTTTTCATATCAAGTAAGAGAACAACCACATTTCTTTCTTATCCCCCAATTGCACGGTAGTCAGTATGTTGTCAAATATTGTTCGCCCTTTCACAACTTAAAGGCTCCTTGTTCATATCCTACCAAGCTCGGAAGGAGGTCAGCCAGGCGTATGGCTAGGGTCTTTGATAGGATTTTATAAATTACGTTCAACGCCGATATTGGGTGGTGAACTTTTCACTTTCGTCTTATCGCTCCTCTTGTATAACGTAGAGATTATCCCTTCAGCAACGCCTGGGGGGAGTGTCCTTGTTTCCAGGATACGGTTGTCTCAAACTTGACGGAGAAAGGGAGCAAACGCCTTCTTGTCGAAACTATCTCCCTAAAATAATATAAAGCATAGTTATGTGTCCTCTCCATGTTCAGTGCCTTAGGAGCAAGGAGCGCAAAGGGGCAAGTCAAGGTTATAATTAATGGTTTAGCTTGGCGATGGATCGGAGATCGGAAAATAGTTTTGATCATACGATTGTAGCAGATGTGCAGTCATTCAAGCCACTTCTTTCGGTTTTGCATTTGCAAGGGTTTCTAGCTGTAACCGGTAGTCCGTCCATTTTTCGTACGAAAAACAAGTACGAGAATGGATTCTTCCCCATTTGATGTTCTGCCTTTTCAATGTCTATTTTCAAATTTCGCTCCTTCCAGATTCTGTTAGCGACTTTCATTCTTGAAAAAAATCATCAAACCAGCCCTGACAATGCTCATACCTAGCAGTGCCCAATTCCGAGTCGCTTCGTTATTCTCGAAGAGAGGCTTGGCTAGCGGCCAGACCCCAATCTGGTCGTTGATGCAGTTAATTATCCCTTCGTCTCTTTAATTATTGACATTTAATCAGAATGGCCGTCCATGGTTTTTCAATAATTTCCAAAGAGAGAGTGTCCATTACTACTTGGATGGTAGTCTTTTTTTTTTTTTTTTTTTTTTTTTTTCTGAACCAACATCTCTCACGGGTGATAGTGATGCTGGTAGGAGCAGATGCTATATCACCCCAGGGGAGGCTCCATCTATTGGTGGGGAGCTTCACCTGCTGGAAACCGGGTCCACCGTTGCATTAAACCACCAGTACTTGGTCCAGCCATCGCCCGCGGGAAAAAATATAGAGTAGAAACGTTTCTAGTCGGATGAATTTGGGCGCTCCTGTAGTGGCCCGTATGTCTCCTAAAATCGTGGCGCGTTAACGGGCATGACTTTAGGAAGTACTTACTGGTGGTTTAACATCAGGTAACCCGAATTTGTTGGAGGAGAATGAGTTGGGAAAAAAAAAAAAAAAAAAAAAAAAAGGGAACCTGTCAGCATAGTAGTCCGACAGCTTGAAATACATAAAGTCGACCCAAATGGAACAGTCCCAGGGGGCTCCCCGGGCTAAAAAATAATCAAGCCTTTTTCTAGACTGGCCTTGGGCCGTACCAAGAGAACCCGTTACTATCCGGGCTCATTGTCCCTTACTATCCGAGTTCATTATCCTTTTTTTTTTTCCTTCTTTTTTTTTCATTATCCGGTACACGTCCACAAGGCATTGTGAGTTTTTAAAGGCCTACCTGATAGGGGAGGTTTTTAGTGTGTCTAGTCCGGGTTAACAATTGTATTCAAGTCGCCCATCATAATCAGATAGTCTATTCTCTCCTTATAGACCACTGGAGCGTAGACAGATATTATTACCGCCCAGTATTCTGCGTCTATTGCGTTTTTTTTTTTTTTTTTTTTTTTTTTTTTTTTTTTTTTTAATGCGGTGTGATGGACCATAGATCAGATATTAAACTGATGAGAACAGAATCAACAGATACTACACTTTCTTTTACTCAGCCAAAAGGCCGAGAAAGGTATTTTATCGCCAATTTCACCCATACCCATCTCCCTCATACGAGTCTAAAATTTGACATTCTAAATCTTTGTTAATTAGAATTGCCATACCGCCACGTGTCCCATCTGCTGGGGCCCCAAACTGGGGCCCTCCCACCAATCCCCAATTTCACTTATCTTTCCCAGATTAGCTTCTTTTTTTTTTTTNTTTTTTTTTTTTTTTTTTTTTTTTTAGCTTTGTTTCTTCTCTTTTCTTTTCTTTTCTTCTTTTTTTTTTTTGTTTTCTTTTCTTTTCTTTTCTTTTCTTTTTTTATTGTAGACCCAGAATATGGGATGATGCCGTTTTGTTCAGTCCATGCTTCCTTATAGCTAAGAAGTCGTGTGTTCCTGACCCTGCGATCAAAACAAGCTCAATGGCAAAAAAGGAAAAAAACAAAGGTATCAATGGCTCTGTCAACTGCCACCTCGCTCCACTCCTCACCAAATGTGCAAATTGAGAATGAATCTTCCATTAGAACATGGAAAGATACACTGTCATGTTTTGTTGTTTTCGTTCCATGCGTTGCGTCGTGGAGCAAGGGCCCTACCGGTAGTCTACTGCAGCACTTGTGCAAGTGGGACATGGGCCCCGGGGTCCTCATAGTCTACCCGGAAAACCCGAAGTGCTGGGAGCTCTACCCAGCTCAGCTTGCAGGGCCCCACCCCTGAGGCATAGACAAAGCAAAAAAACAAACAAACAAACAAACAAACAAACAAAGACAAGCCTAATCTAAGCGGGAAAATACTACCTACTCAACTCGAATACTTACCAGTAGAACACCTAATTTAGGGCTAGATCCCACTAGCCCCTATTATTCATTTCTGACCGTTGATCTTCGTAATCGAGGGTCAAAAATGAAAAATAGGGGCCAGTGGGATCTGGCCCTTATGTACACTGAACGCCTCCAAACTACCGGCCTAAAGCTGTTGTCTCAGCTTTCAAGCGGCAATGAACATGCCAGAGAGTTTGATATGTCAGCTTATAGCCCGAACATAGCACTGTCGGAGCCTTTGGCCGAGTCAGATCAAGGTATGTATGTTTCAAGCTAGCTCACCGACTATGAACTCTGACGTAAGAACGACCAGATTCCGTCTTAGCACACGCAACGCATCAAGGTATGTTCCGCCGCAAAAACCACCAGGTCCGGGGTTCGGCACATGCATAGTGCCAGTTGGGTCTGGTCTGAAGGCATCAAAAAGGTACGCTGGCATCAAAACGGGGGGGGTGGGGGGGGAAAGATTTTTCCTGGTGTGGGGTCGAGAGACCCGATGGTCTTCCGGGTTATGGCCCGAGTACACGATCGCATGGTGTACTCTCGTTGGCCGCTCGCCATTTCCCGAATAGGAGAGAATAGGGAGACAGAAGAGAAGGTAGGGTAGGGTAGGGTTGATGGTCTACTTGCACTGCCATCCCCGAGCAAACAGTTCCGTGGAACATTGGCATCACAGGTAGGGAAGTCGTGGCTGGAGGCTCGTGGAGTGAAGGTGGAAGTAGCACGCTATCCAGCCAAGTGGAGATGGCGACGATAGCTGCGGCACGGACGAGCTGTCAGATTGCCACGTGGCGACCGCTGGTTAGAGTTGAAGATGCGGCGGCATCCAGTAGCAGCTCGAGGTGTGGTTGCTGCTGCGGCGGGGAGACATTGGTCGTTCCCCAACTCTCGTCTCTTAGCTCAACCTATGGAGAAACAAAGACTGCGTTAACGTACCGTAACGCCGCCGCTGGATCAGCATCGTCGTCTTCATGGGGACGGATGGCGTACTCGCGGTGGGATCGACCAGGCAGAGGAAAGAGAGATCGCAGCTATGGCGACAAAGGGAAGAGAGAACGCAGCGATGGCGAGAAGAACGCAAGGTGCGGCCTTAAGAACTTCCGGCACTCTTCTTTTTCATCTTCTTCTTCTTCTTCTTCTTTTTCTTCTTTTTGTTCTTTTTCTTCTTCTTCTTGTTGTGGGCCGAGGGAGACGACACGTGGACAAGGGTTGAATGACGACAAGTTGAAGTGTGGACGCAGATCGTGGATCTTCCAATGCAATGCTGTTCCAGGTGGAGAGGACGACGGGAATCCAGAACTAGAGAGTGGAACAGCTCCGTCATCAAGGAAGGAGGAGGATCGGAGGTCGGCGGCTATGGCTGCGGCGACCAGCCCGGCGATGGCGGCGGCAGCGGCGGCATCTGCAAGGGCGGCCAAGCCGCGTGACGAATATAGGAAGATCGAATACGTGTACAATCCTAAGGAGAAGATCGACTCGTTTGCCCAAACGATGTCGACTTTCGAGAATCTTCCGCGAAGTTTGACGCTCTTTTCTCCGTGCAAGGTGAATGTGTTTCTGCGCGTGACCAGAAAGCGCGAGGACGGGTTTCACGACCTGGCGTCGCTGTTTCACGTGATTGATCTGGGTGACGTCATCAAGTTTTCGTTGTCACCCTCGACGCGCAGAGACTCGCTGACGTCGACTGTGTCCGGGATCCCACTTGATGAGAGGAACCTGATAATAAAGGCATTACAGCTGTACAGGAAGAAGACAGGCGCACGTCAGTATTTTTGGATTCATCTCGATAAGAAAGTGCCAACCGGCGCGGGATTGGGCGGAGGCAGCGGCAATGCCGCCACGGCTCTATGGGCGGCAAATCAAATGTGCGGCGGCTTAGCCTCCGAGAAGGATCTGTTGGAATGGGGAGCGGAGATTGGCTCCGACGTGCCAGTCTTCTTCTCTCACGGCGCTGCTTACGTCACAGGAAGAGGGGAATTTGTGGAGGATATACCGTCCCCCTTCTCCCAAGATACTCCCCTGGTGCTGCTGAAACCGCCGGAAGAATGTGCCACTGCCGCCGTTTATAAGAGGTTCAATATGGCAATGGCAAGTGCCGCCGCCGATCCAGAAAAACTTCTGGATAAGATTAGATTAGAAGGATTATCTCAGGACACGTGCGTGAATGATCTGGAGCCTCCGGCGTTCCAGATATTGCCGTCGCTTCGGGCGCTGAAGCAACGAGTAGCCATGGCCGGCAGAGGACGGTACTCCGCGGTATTCATGTCGGGAAGTGGGAGCACTATCGTAGCGGTAGGCGATCCCGATCCGCCGTCCTTCATTTACGATGAGGAGGAGTATGCGGACCTGTTCGTGGCGGAGGCTCGGTTTTTGGTACGGAGAGCGAACCAGTGGTACGCGCCAGCTGGAACGGGACCGGGATGGGCGAGTGGGGATGCCGCGGCGGCTGCGGCGTACGAACAGAGACCGGAGGATGATGGGTGTCGTGGCGCGCAAGGATGGGGGGAAGGGGATCTGATGGACCTCCGCTTGCCCTTCTCTTATGAGGCTTAGGGCATACTCACACTAGCAATGCTTTTAAATGTAGCTGACTGAACTCACGTCCAGACCGGGATCTATCTGATGTGACCGTAATCACGTCGAGACCGCGATGCATCTCACACCGTAATCACGTCCTGGTGCGAGTATATGGCCTTAGGTGAAATTCAGATATATACTGTGTAATTATGTAATACCACTTGTTTGTTTTGCACTCTATTTATCCATCCCAACGTATACATATGTATGGATATATATATCGTCATATATATATATATATATCTGCCTACGGTTTTATCGGGCAGTTCTGTTTGTGACGATATATATATATATATATATATATATCACAGCCCCTCGTTTGTTGTCCTCTTCTCCCTCTCTGCCTACGGTTTAAATGTTCAGCCTCCTGATGAGATGGCGAAACTCCGACGACACAGTCCTGTCACTGCCCCTCGTTTGCTGTCCTCTTCTCCCTCTTGTCCCTCTCTGCCTACGGTTTACCGAGCGGGCAGTCCCGCTTGACGATATATATATATATATATATAGATTAAGTATGCCTTCTGACAGTGTAGTATGTATCTGTATCCAGTCTCGTAGACATAAGTTAATGTAGATGAAGTATGCACTCTGACGGTGTAGTATGTATCTATATCCAGGTTACAATTTTGGGAAAGAGAATGCAACAGCACCCTACCTCCGGATGTGTCATTACATGTAAATGTAAATGTATGTCCCGACCAATCAGACCAGCTATTAAGCCCAGCTGGCTGCCAGTTCGACCTAGTCTTTCTCTTCTTCTCTTTCCCTCTCCCTCCCTCTTCCCCCCCCCTCCTCTCTCTCTCTCTCTCTCTCTCTCTCTCTCTCTCTCTCTCTCTCTCTCTCTCTCTCTCTCTCTCTCTCTCTCTCTCTGTGCTTCTCCTCTTTCCTGTCTTCCTCTTTCTCTCCTCTCCATGTACCACTTTTTGTGCGTGATGCTGACGTGCCCGTGCGCAAAGAAGCAGAGGGAGGGAGGGAGGTAGGTAGATAGGTAGGTAGGTCACTCTCCCGATCAATAATTGGGAACTCGCTTAGAATTCAAAACTGAGAGTGTAGTCACAAAAGGCCCTTAAAATCACAAAATAACAAAACGAGCGGCCAGATCGAGTCCTTCGATTACAAGGACTCAGTCAGTCTGGCTACACATTTTGTGATTTTGCGAGTTTGCGATTTTGAGGGCCTAGTGTGAGGGCAGACTCACACTCGTAGGCACTCAAAATCCCAGAATCCCAAAATCAGCGGCCAGATCAAGTCCTCCTAAGCGAAGAACTCGATCTGGTCGCTCATTTTGCCATCCTGTGATTTTGAGAGCCGAGTGGGAGTATACTCTTGAGTATGCCCTCAGTCTTCTTAGAGTTTACTCACACTAGGCCCTCAAAATCGCGTAGTAGCAAAATCAGCGACCGGATCGAGTCCTCGCTTCACAAGGACTTCACAAGGACTCCATCTGGCCGCTGATTTTGCTATTTTGCAATTTTGAGGGCCTTGTGTGAGCACGTCCATTTTCATTGATAATAACTGCTCGAAGAAAGGAACCTTTTCCTGATCAAGAAAGTATTCTTAAACCACCAGTACATGGCCCTGCTAAAAATAGAGTAGAAACGTTTCCAGTTGGATGATTAAAAGAAATATATAAAAAATTAAATTACCTGTCGAATTTGGGCAGGACGGCCTTTCAGGCCTTTTTTTTTTTGTCATAATTATAGTATTATCGGGAACCCTTAGCAGCCACATCCGTGCTCAAGACTCCAACGAGGGAACGTGGGGGAGCTGCACCCACCCACAGGTGGGCGATATCGGCCAGGGGGTTAGCTGGTAGCATCAGGACCGAGCTTCTTCGACGGGCCAGTCGCTGTGCCTCCCCTCCGGTCCCCTGCCCCTATGAACATCAGCAGTCTTTGCTCAATGCTACTCGTGGGGACCAACGCCATATCTCTAGGTGGCAGGCGCCAAGCTTGCACAGGAAGGTACATGAGGCCAATCGGGATTGAACCCAATACCTTCTGAATGCCACTTGCGTGCCTTACCAACTGAGCTAGGCTGTTTGATGGTTGGTTGGATGAATCTGGGCGCTCCTGTAGTGGTTTGTACGTTTCCTAAACTTGCGGCTTCTTAAGGGCACAACTTTAGGAAGCACTGTGGATCACTACGGTAGTACACCTTGGCCTGGAGGCACTCCACTGCGCACCAAGCTTTGCCGAACGGCCAGCGGCGCCCTTTTTCATTCTGTTGGCTAGCACCGCCAGCCATTGTGTACTCGATGTTGGGGCGACGCATGAAAGTTTAGGAGTAGGCGACAGGCGACGAAACATTTTCTGCAAGCCTGGAACTGGAGTACGAGGAAAACTGTTGAGCCACCAAGGGGCGCCTGGACACACCCCAGTGACTGGCCAGGCATGACCTGGCCGGGTGCTATGCCGCACAGCCCAAGTGCAAAAAATAGAGTTTTTTTTTTTTTTTTTTGAAAAACACCCCCTTCAGTGTTAGTGCTGCTGATGAGAGCAGACAGCACTACCACCGGAGGAGAGGCTCCATCTATTGGTGGGGAGCATCACCTGCTGGAAATCGGGTCCAGCGTCCATTACACATGAAAAGAATGATTTGGAATATCCTGGCTGTGTGCGAATGGCCGGGGTTCCTGCCAGCATTGATTGCCCTGCAAATCAGGGGATTGACTGAGCAGGCTTATGTGCAAAACCAAAAGCATCTATGAGTTGTCTGCCAGCATTGATTGCTCTGCAGAGCAGGGGATTAACTGAGCAGACCCGTGTGGACTTTCTTTTTTTTAAGTTCAATGGAACAGGTGCCACCCTGTGCTGGAAACCGGATCCAGCGTCCCATCTCTAAGTCATCTCTAAGTCATCAAGTCATCGCTGCCTTACCTTGCCTTTCCTGCAGTTGGGTCGAGAGCTGGAGAGGGTCACTGGGGGGCACCAGTGATGTCTCCCTCCACCTCTTAACCCCTGCCATCCCCCACCATTGTCCACTGTCCACAGGGCGCCTAGAAATGAGTATGCAAAAATGCAGGAAATGCTGAATGAAAGTACCGAATGCTTATACAAACGCCATGCAAAAGCATATACTTGTACAATATGAGGTCTCTTTTTTGGCGGGGAGCTGAAGTAAATAAAAAAATGTTGGAAAAATGAGAAACCCCTCCAATGGCTCGAGGGAGACAACAAAAAAAGCTATGTTCCCAGAGGTCCCCTGTATAAGCCTTAGGAGGAGTGGTGGGTAGGTAGTGAAAAGGTGAATTGAAAGAATTTGAAAGGTGATGAAAGATTTGAGAGAAGAATATAGTGTAGTTTTCATTTTTAAAAAAAAACAGAAACAAAAAGAATATGTGGAATTGCAATCCGAACAATCTTTTTTTTTTTTTTTTTTTTTTTTTTTTAAACATCGTTCAGGACCAGATCCTTTGCCATCAGGGTGGTACGAGCCCCTGATGATAGAGGTTGGCAAGTTTCGATGGCTTCGTTCTATTCGGGAAGAGCTTCACCTACTGGAAAACGGGTCTAGCATCCCTTTCACAGAATTGATCCGAAGACAGGGCACCTGCTGGAAAACGGGTGCAGCGTCCCTCATATATAAAATATTATAAATACAAAATGTAGACCACTGCGACAATTATCCAGCTTTCTTTGGTACAACTCAGCTGAAATCTCAAGCACTAATTAAACCACCAGTATATTTTTTATTATGAATCAATTGCCTTGGTTAAGTATTATTATATTATTTCCCATCTTTGCAGGATTTGTTATTCCATTACTTCCTAGTAGGGAAAATCAAACTGTAAGATGCCATACGTTTCCTAAAATCGTGGCGCGTTAACGGGCGAATTTGTCCGACTAGAAACGTTTCTACTCTATTTTTTCCCGCGGCCGATAGCTGGGCCAAGCACTGGTGGTATAAAACAGCAGTCATAATCTACTTCTCCACTGGCTTTGGAAGAAAGGATAAGCTCATGGCTCGTCTAAAATATCTTGATGACGGTGTAGTCCAACTGGGATATCAAAACCCCAAGAATGTGAAAGTCTGATCAACAGATATTCCCACCTAACCTAATCTCTAGAAAGTACCTCTCTTTGTCGCTTCCACAAAAGTATCAAGATATTACAACCTGAAATAATACCAGAAGCATGGCATTCTAACTGCCTTTCTTCACAATCTTGCATGTTTTGCATGTTTCGAGTATGCATAGTGCTGCTCAAATCCCATCAGGCCACTCTCTCTCTCTCTCTCTCTCTCTCTCTCTCTCTCTCTCTCTCTCTCTCTCTCTCTCTCTCTCTCTCTCTGTGTGTGTGTCTCTCTGTGTGTGTGTGTGTGTGTGTGTGTGTGTGTGTGTGTGTGTGTGTGTGT